TCCACAGTCCGTATGCTTACTCTAAAAGCGGTCACATTTTCTTCTAATTTAAGACGGATCGCAGAGCAGCAGCGCCTCGAGGATTCTGACGACGTCGACGAGCCCTACTACCTCGATTCTAGTCCTGCATCAACAAGCGGCGTCAGAAATGATGTTGGTGACAAGCACAGTTCGAAAAGTTCTGCGGAGTATAACCACCGTATCTCTCAACACCATCACCAAAAGGCTTCCAAAAATCGGTCGCTAGGTGGACACTCTAAATGCACCACCTCAACCGCTTCAAGCAACGGATCACGAGCCAGCGGCCGCAACGAGAGCCAGACACCCGAACGAGACATCGTTTTGACTGGCAGTCAGAGTGGCTCCTCATTATTTGACCGACCCAGTGGAGCAACCACCTTTTATGAAGACGAGGAAACGGACATTTCCGAACCAACTGGTAGTGGCTCTTTCGTCGTTCATCGTCGCATCCATAACCTCACAAAACGACAGCATCGGGGACATCCCCACCCCTAGATCAATCATTCTCTATAAACTCTTACATAAAGCAGTTTCGATTGCTTAATCCTTCATGGGCACTTACGGATACTACGCACAAGACGCGCCTCCACCATTCAAAAATGTCTGGTGCAGAATAAAATTACTGACAAAGACAAGGGAGGCTGGAGTGAGCATTTCTGGCTTATTAGCTGTCGTCAGCCAGTCATACCCAACCCCGAAGTGTGGAACACTTGGGCCGCGATCGGGAATGTACAATGGTAAAGGGGCGCACACCGAACGTTTTTACGGAACTCACTCGTCCTGTTGTGCTTTCGGGCTCTCTCTCGAGCCCCCACAATGGTACACGATATAGTCAGAGTACCACTGCCGAGGAAGACAAGACTGGGATGGCTATTTCTAGCTTATTAGCCGTCGTCAGCCGGTCATATCCAACCCCAGAGTGTGTAACACCTGGGGCCATCGCAGTCTCCCTTATCTCTGTCGGGAATGCTATTCTGCCTATAGGTGCAGCTGCTAGTTGGACTCGAGAGAGAGCCCTAAGGCACAACGGGACGATTTCCGTAAAAACGATCGGTGAGCGCCCTCCTACCAATGTCTGGAACGATCATGTCAGGAGTCCGAGTTACAAGGGTGCCGGATAGGTCATACTGGCCAAGCTCATTGTTACAAGCAATCATCGGGTGAAATATTTTACCACCGAATTTCGGCATGTGTTTAGGATAATACATTAACGGTTTAGCAGGGCTGCGTCTCACCCTTGCGGGCATTGTGGAGAGTGTGCGTATGCTATGCCACGTCTCAGCAAACCATGGTCGTTGCAGCCTGGTGTGCGCTAACAGTTCTCTGCCACCTTTTTCCCCGCCGGTAGATGCGTTTGCGCCCACTCCGGGCATACAGGCCGCCCGCATGGTTGCACCGTAACTTGCGTCATCCTTCTGATTCTGAACTGGCATGAAAGGTCGCCAACTTGGACCTCGCAGTCGGCTCGGTAAATTCGTGTGGAGTGGCGAACGGGTAGTCTGAGAGTCAGGCTGCAATAGCTCCTTCATAATGTGGCCTCTATGTTGTGGTTATGCGTCTAAGCGCAGGTTCATTATCCGTACCATCTACCTGCACCCTCCTCTACCCCCCCCCCCGTTTTCTTGACTATGTCTCGATGCCGGGCCCAGGTGAGGGAGGAGAGTGCGTGCCAGATGTGCAATTCTGCTACCACTACAAACTAATACGTGCGAATGTCACCGTGCATGCTTCCATCGTGCTGTGGAGCACACGGTGGACATCGTCGGTCATGACGGCCGAACTGTCACATTAACGACTTTGTCAGATAAAACGGCCATTTAACCGTGGAACAAAACAGTAGAAGTTTGCAGAAAGTGCGATGTCAGATGCGAAAGGCGTTGCGACGGACACGAGCCTGTTCGACCAGCCTTAAACAGCGCGGCTTCCATGGAGCACGACCCCCCCCCCTCTTCGACAGGTCTTTATTGTTTACTTGGTGGTGATTTAATTGGGAAAAGGGGATTCATACGCCAGAAGCCACCCTCACTTGTAGCAACTGGTTTTAAGGTAAGGGATGCGAGAACACAGCGACATGACTACACGCAAAGGCCAAATCGGCTCAGGAATAGTCAGGTGCTGGATTCGGAGGACAGACGACCACAAGATTGGGGACAGTGGGGTTGTGGCTTCTACTTCTCCTCGTTCTCGTCACTTTCATCGCCCTCTTCATCGTCATCGGAGTTACCGGCGTCTTCTTCGTCGTCATCATCATCGTCACCCGAGACCTCCTTGTTGGCATCCTCGAGCTCCTCCATGTGGCGCCGCAGTTCCGATTCGTCAGTATCCGAAACTATCCGAGGCTAAAAGAAGGGACTTGGTTAGGGGGCGTAGCTTTCCACATCATCGTTAGCAGAACAAACTACCTGCAAACAAGGACTGGTCTCGTTAAGTTTTGTCTGAACCAGTACTTCGCGCATTTGCATCGCCTGACAGACCAAAAACAATTTCACGAAGGGCATGGGAAATGTGTTAGTTTACAGAGCCAGGACACACTTGCACTACCAAGATAGTTCAGGATGAAAATGGCACGAGGCCAACGGTCAAATCCTTTCTTGTGGCAAGTGCTTTCTGTCTGCGCAAATTTATTGATTTCCGATAGCCTTCTACAGCTGTCACCTACAATGGTGGAGGCTTACTGCAAAATCTGGAGCGTCCGCACGAAGCGCAACGATTCAGAAAATACTGACGAGCGAGTCTTTTCCTCCTACTTTATTAGGGTGATTCCCATGAAAGAAAAATACATAAAAAGACGGCGATCAAGTCTTATGCGAAAAAAGAAGGACTGGTTGTGCCGGCATCACCGTGTAACCATAGCTTTACGAACAAAGTCGTGGAAGGGAGCAAATACCTCGAAACAAGCGCTGAGCAAAGGGCTAAAACTGCATGCAGTTCTTAAGGATTCAGTTTATAACCATGAGAAGAGCAGGAGTTACTTACCGGCTGTTGAAGTTTGAAGGAACCTTCCTGTTCCTCAATAGAGACCTTGATAGCATCCAGTATCTGGTTGAGCCGCGCAAGACCTTCGTTCCACTCCAGGGTTTGTGTAGTAAGCACGTAAAGGGGCGGAGCGATGAGGTTTATCTGAAACGATTACGAACTCACGCTAGTTAGCGACAATAAGATGATCAACACTAGTTCAGGGGTCTGTACAGGTTCGTGCATCCCAAACAACGAGGACAATCGCTGTCCCCCAAGGCGCAGTGGTGACACCAGTGTGAGCTTGTTTAGAGTGACGGGCTTGCGCAGCACTTACATCAATCCCTCCACGCCAATCATACCTTAACGAGAAGACAATCATGGCGACTGGAGATAGACGCGGAAAAAGTGGGTGACGGGACAAAAGCCGCGCCTGCGTGCACTATCCACGTGTCGGTCTTTGAATCCATCTCCGTGAGGAGGCCTTGAAGGCCACATCAAGGAGCTACTGCAGTCCGACCACCAATCCCAAGTGGGATCAATTTTTCCCGTCCGTTGTGGTTTAAAAGACTGACAGCTTCTACACCACAACCGTTAGTGCGTAATAATAATTAGGCGCTAGTCTGTTCATTGTGAGGAAACTGAGATCTGGATGGATCCTCCTATAGTTTGAGCCAAATCGAGGTGTGGCTGACGAGGCGTGAAGCCCCCTGCAACACATTCCATACAAACCAGGAGCCCTTAGTAAAACAAACAAGCCTTGTGGTGGCTTGAGTTAACGGCTGCTAGTGATTGATGACTCTAGTTATGCCTAAAAACTGCGCTAAGTGGGCACGTGGAACAGAACGGTCAAACAACCCAAACTCGAATAATAGCACAATGCCTAAGTAATTAAGACGGATCTGAGAAATATCTGCAACACTATTAATAAATTTTCATGCTGAAAAACTGGAATTAACAGAGGGAGACACCTTAATAGGCAGCTCTTCTGTGCTGAACTCGAGACCACGGCGAAGAGCCCTGCGGACCGCTTCGATGCCCTCATAGGCGAAACAGGAGACCTCAAAGTCGGCCCTGAGCTTCACTGCCTGTGGCATAAGACGGTGACGGATATCCTGCAACAACAGATCGCGGGCCGCCTTGTCAATATCACATTCATCAAGCACAGCTGGGGTCCTGGCAAGACAAAAAAGTGGATACGCAGACGGGTCATAAAAGCGCCACACAAATTGGCTTAGTAAAATAGGTAAAAACGGTAATCTCGGCATGAAGTTCGAACCATGCATAAGTGGGATTGATGACCACGAGGTGGAAAAGGATTGCTTCGCCTGGCCTCGACGATCCATTCCCAAAGTACCACGGGAAGTGCACATGATGGGTACTTCCATCGACTTCAATATTTCGATCCTTAACAGACTAGTGGACGGATGATGCAGTTAGAGGGCGTGCGCGCCATACCGCAAATAAAGACTAACCACGTGAGTGAGGATGCGCGCCTTCTCGAACTCCAAGCAACAGCGTCTCGGGGGAATCGGAATGACTTCAAGTAACCGGACTTCGAAAACGCATGTTAAGGCCATGCCGAGTGCTTCCAATGAACAAGCTACGACTGCCGATGTCAACAGTAACGAAATAAGCCCTAATGACTTAATTGTAGAGACGTTCATGGAGAGACAGAATTCTCTAATCTATCACCCAGGTCAGTCCCAAATGTGTGAACGCAGTCAAAACAAGATGAAAACAGTTCCCCGGGAGTAGGACAAACGACTCGGAATTTGTTGCACGAGGTATCTGTTTGGTCACACTAGACGGCGAAGCTCTCAGTGTAATCGACAACTACTGCCTTGTGTTGAACTGTTTGCCAAAGGGGAAGGGCAGTATAGACGTCCATGAAGACAATCTGTCTGTGGGGATGTGGAACGTCCGTATCCTCAGAAGTTGTGCATAGTCTGGGTGAGTTCGACCAATAGTGGTCATGCTGAAGTCTTTGATCGCCTTTTCTGTAGAAGGTCACACATCTGGCCAGCTCTTTGTCGATAAGGATGGTTCGGCCATGTAGTGTAACGACCAAAGGCAGGGTCGTCCGAGACGTGACTTCGCCTTAACCAGGGCCTGGCTGATGAGAGTTCACCTCGGGCGCACTTCTGGCTCTGGGTTCTGTACTGATAACAATCAGCTAGGATAGAGGACGATCATCGGCGAAGCGTTGGACTGAGGTGTGTAACCGGCCGAATCAGTAATGACTGCTGTCCTAAGTAAAAGTAAATTCATCGACTGCTATCCTCTTTCAAAGAAAATTGAACGAAGAGCAATCTAAATGCCCAAGGGCATTATCCGCGAACGCCGCCGACGTCACAGAACACATTCGCACGAGATAAGAGCTTTATCAAAGTCAAATTTACACCTCAAAGAGCTATTGTGAGGCGTAATGTGCCCTCCGCCATTGCCAGAGATATTATACAGACCTATCTCACTAGGGTACCTAAGTTTGTAGAAAGTTGAGTAAGGGCCTCAGCCTAGATGACCCCGGACATCAGATTTAGCAATGGCCTTCGACGCCATTCCCCGAAGGAAGATGGGGCGTACCCTGCTGGCCATTTAGGATATCTATGGATAACGGTCTGAGAAAAAAAATCAACGAAGTTTGGGTGCGGAAGAGTAAGTGGTCGCGAACCAGAAGTAATGCTAGTGGCAAGCGAAGGCGTGAGGTCTAAAAACAAATTATCTGACGGAATTTTGCAGTCAGGAAACCGTATTCTGACATGGCGAGCAGAAATGTTCGGTTGAGGTTGCGAGGAAGCCCACACCCACAGCCGAAGAAACCCCAAAACCGAGTTAGATATAATGAAAGAAGAAATCTGTTGGTTATAAACAAATGTTTAACGATTACAATGTTAATCAATCCTCAAATTGTGCTAGGCATTAGATTGGGCTTTGGTTGTTTCAATGGCGGTGCGAGCATTCGCTACTGCTGTCTGCAGACCGGACCGAGGACTAGGGGATCCAGTTTGCACCGCACCCCAGAACTTTCATGCATATCACGAATCCCGACTCATGTCCTAGCTTATCTCATTTAGTCCGTCCGTAGTAATACGTGTCAGCCTCATGGCTATAACTGTCCACGACTGCTTTACTTGCAGCCCGGATTTAGCCCTGGGATAACTATTATAAAACTACGATTCCAAGGTTCATCTGAGTCAACTGTTGGCGCGAGAGGTCAGCACCAAATGATCGCCTCGATCAGACTTCTCCAAAAGAATGCCGTTTGGAAGGTGTCATCGGCGTTCGTGAGTGATCCCCCATATATAACGCATTATGGCTAACTGAATCCACTTGAAGACGATACCATCTAAACTGCCAGCCTTAGTTTCTCACATACGAAACTTCTGACAGAACGGTGGCAATTATATATCAATATCATATAAGATTCATTTGAAAGCCATAGATAACGAAAACCTGGGACAGGGCTTGCAGGCTGCCCAACATGTTTACGAATGACTGACATTGGAACATCCTTCAGCGAAGATGTGCCAGAAGATAAGCGGGCCTCTGCGCACGGTCAACAAGCAGTCATAAGTAATGCAGAATACCGGTCCAGCAAATCAGTTACGTATAAAAATATCACAGGCAAGGGCGGCACTACGGCATGGCTGACGTTTCTGGTAGATGGGGTACTGCGGCGCAATCCAAAATCGTCGGTGGCGCACGAGAAGAGTACCAGATCTAGCAGTAAGATAGTCCCAATTTAGTAATGTTAATCTTGTTTGTAACAAGATTAGTGGAAATTGGCGCAATCAGGCGCCCTCGGCCAACTGCACACGCCGCAGGGAATGTCGGAACAGGTCACTTAAAAGGGTCGAAAGCTATTCAAGATGCCGGATCCCGGACTACGAAATTAAAAACGCCTTCTCAAAACTGTTTGGTAGGGAACTAGAGAAATGACGGCGTTAAGGACATTGCGGGGGCGCAAATATTTGGTCATTATGCTCACGGCTTACCCTGAAATCTGAGAAATGACGGCGCTAAGGGCATTGCGGGGACGCAAATATTTGGTCATTATGCCCACGGCTTACTCTGAAATCTGCATAAGTTAATCCTTTTCCCAAGAGCAATTTCTATGAGACCTTAAGATACCAGTGCTATAGAAAGGTATCTAGAGTGAAAGGGTGTCCAGTTGTGGATCTACGTGGTAGGTCGCTCACTTGCTTGTAGGTGTTGACCACCCCTAGTGTCCATTTACGGACACTAAACTCTCAAATTTGGCTCCCTGTAGCGCGCGGGAATCGGCGCGCTACAGGGTGGACATCGCTGCCCTCAGCGAGACCCGGTTCTCCGAACAAGGCCAGCTAGAAGAAGTGGGTGTCGACCATAGTTTCTTCTGGAGCAGACGCCCAAAAGCAGAGAGAAGAGGCGCGGGTGTTGCCTTTGACATCCGGAACGACGTCGTGGGGTGAATGCTGTCTGCCGCAGGGCATCAACGATCGTCTGGTGGGCCTCCGACTGCCGCTTCAGGGATTCAACTTCGCCACCATCATCAGCGCCTATACCCCAAAAACGACCGGCTCAGAGGAAGCGAAGACGAAGATATACGAAGACCTGCACACCCTCCTGATATCTGTGCCCAAGGTGGATAAGTTGATTGCCCTTCGTGTCATCAATACCTGACAGACTGTGCTGCCTCGGTCCTCACGGAATCGCCGGCTGCGACGACAATGGCCTCACTTCTCCCGCGGACCGGGGCTGAACACCGCCTTCTGCTGACCAACACATTCTTCCGACTGCCTATGCGGAAGGCCACCTACATGAACCCCCGATCGCGGCGCTGGCAGTTGCTGAACAATGTTCTCGCTCGGCAGTGAGATTGACAGGATTCGATGGTGACCAAGGCGATCTGCGACGCAGATGGCTGGACGGACCACTGTCTGGTCATTTCTAAGATGAAGATTCGCCTGCAACCCTGCAGGATGCCACAAGGTAGGCGACCCCCAGGTAAGCTGGATACTGCTCCGTTGTCTTTGTCTGTCCACCGTTTGCATTTCAGCAATCAGCGGCTAAAAGACCTACCGGCAACAGATGAAGACGCCTCCGTGGTGCTGCCCTACTTCTCAGCCCCGATGAATCAACGCTTTCGGAGAAGTCGCAGGTTCTGAAGCGCTGCGCCGAACACTTCAGAAACGTCCTCAACTGTCCCTCCACAATCTACAACGCCGTCATCGACCGGCTCTCCCAAGTGGAAATCAACGTCAACCGGTGCCCCTCGCCCTCTCTTTCAGAAACCATTCGTGCCGAGCAACAACTCTCCAACGGAAAAGCACCAAGTCCCTATGCAATCGCAGCCGAAATCAACAAGCACGATGGCCACCGCCTGGTGGACAACTCACCACGCTATTTAAGACGTGCCACTGTGGACAAGTTCCTCGGGACTTAAAGGACGCAACCATTGTTCAACTCTACAGGCAGGGGCAACCGGAAGGTCTGCGACAAACGCAGAGGCATCTCACTACTCAAAACTGCCGGGAAGATCTTAGCCCGCATCTTCCTCAATCACCTCAACGGACACCTCGAGGACGGACTCCTGTTGTACAGCTAATACGGTTTCTAACGACACCTGGGCATCACTGACATGGTTTTTGCCGCTCACCAGCTAAAGGAGAAGCGCCAGGAGATGCGAACCCACCTCCACACTACCTTTGTGGACTTGGCGAAGGACTTTAACTAGGTGAATCGCGGAAAATCATGCAGAAATTCGGCTGTCCTGAACGACTCACGCACACAGTACGCCAGCTCCACGATGGAATGATGGCGCGCGTCACGGACAACGGCGCAATCTCCGAGGTATTCGCAGTGCCCAATGGAGTGAAGCAGGGCTGCGTCTTCGCGCCAACACGGACAAAACGGTGGTCATGGAACAACCTTCACCCAACACGCAACACTGCACTCCTCGAATCACTGTCGACGGCCACCAACTCAAAACTGTGAACAAATTCGCTAATCTCGGAGCATTTTCCAACGGCACGAGAGTCGACGATGAGGTTGCCCACCGGATCTCAAAAACCAGCAAAGACTTACACCGACTGCAGAACATATTGTGGAATCGTCACGGCCTTCAACTGAATATCAAACTGAAGATGTACAAGGCTGTCGTCCAGAAGACACTCCTATGCTGCAACCACGCTAAGAAACTCAACCACTTCCACCTCAGCTGCCTTCGCAGAATACTAAAGCTGAGATGGCAAGACAGGACGCCGGCACGGAAGTCCTAGAACGGACCGGCATCCTTAGCATCCACGCCATGTTAAGGCAACTGCGGGTACGCTGGAGCGGCTATCTAGTGAGGATGGAAGATACACGGCTACCGAGACAACTCTTCTATGGTGATGTCCCCATGGTGCTGGCCGACAGAGAGGACGAAAATGACGCTACAAGGGCGTATTGAAGAATTCTCTTGAGCGATAACATATCAGTCCTGAAACCTGAGAGACCTCGCCCTTGAGAAGAGATATGATAACCGGCGCTGCCATCTACGAAGCAAATCGGGTCGCCGCCACCACAGTTAAACGAAGAGCTGGCAAATCACGAGTGTCTCGCTCCCCTCAGTGTCAACTATCCGCCGCTTCCGACATGTACGCGCTTCAAACGCGTATTCCGAGCATGAATCGGTCTCGTTGGACGCCTTCGGATCCAATAGTCAACCCGACAACGTCTATCTCTTCTACCACTCTCGCCCCTGCCCCAAACTCCGCATCAACCGCCACCCTCGTCACCCCCGATCACACTGCCGCTGACTCATCGCCACCATGGGCCCTGCCCTAACCCCTGCATCGACCGCAGCGGCCAGCATCATTACCACGCCTTCACGCACTCTCCCCACCGATAGGAAAACGTCCGACGTCTTACCAATTTTAAACATTACTAACATCCCCACCCCTAGTGACGTGGACTCGGTTTATACCTGTCCTAATTGCGATCGCACATTCACCTCACACATCGGCCTGGTCGGTCACTTGTGAATCTGTCGCATAGACTGGCGAACTAGTGTCTGGAGCGCCAATCTACACTCTCCGCATCCGTCTCCACTGACGTTACTGCCTCCGCACATTTACTCACTGCACGGGCTCTCTAGGTCACATGCGTATTCACGACAGCGGAATTCACCGCAGTCTCGACGCACGTGACACATTCGGCAAATCCATAATGCCTAGCCAACCCACACGTCGCCCAGCGCGCCGACCGCTAGCAGATCCACCACCATCACAACCGACTCCGACACGGCCGAGCTATCCTGTCCACACTGTCACCGCACGTTCACCTCAAGTCGAAACTCACTGTAAACTAATCCACGTGCAAACCACCTTGCCTGCTTTACCAGAAAGGTATCTTTGATTCTTGAAAGGCGCCCAATGGCCTTATCCATCAAAACAAGATCGCTGTCTACGGTGAGTAGCATTCAGGACCTTCTTAAACACACTAATAGCATGAAGTACTTGGGTTAATTGTCGCTGAGATAGTCCTACAAAGTTTAAACAGGACTGGTGACTGGTGACATTGTTACCAGAACCCTACAGACATTAATCTGCCGGGCAAAGGGGCCTATGGGCTCGCAGTCTGCTACTGCTTAATGTAACCATACCGTCTGTCACGTATGCACAAAGAGGGTAATCAGCAGACAGGTAGACAGACGAATGCCAGCTTCCCATCAACCTTATTAGCTGTGTTTGCTCCAAGTAGATACGGTGCATGCTAGGGCTAAGTACACTCAATGCTGTTAAATGGATGAGATAAAGCGATCTGGGCATACACGATATGGATAAGCAATTGCCCCCCGACACACGTTTATGAAGCACTACATACTCCAATTGTGTTTTCGGTATCATGCTTACAAACAACCGCATGTGGATTTTAACTGCTCAAATAATTCGGATAGTGCTCTATCTTGGCCAGGGCATTCACTCGGCGGGCCGAAAGACAGAAACTCGCGATGAGTGATGGTGACAAGTAATGTCTTGATTCAGACATAAAGAACCGGAACTGGTCACTATAAAGTAAGGTAGAGTCTTGGCTAACATAGTGAGTGTGCATGTCGTGAGTCACGACGTTTGACTAGAGCCAACAGAGTCGTTAAAAGCGGTCTAATAAATAAGCAACCACAGACATCCAAGCTAAGCATCTTTAACACTCTACCGTAGACATCATGTGGAAATAAGGATATGATAAGCGGTATCTCCAGCATGTCCTGATAACTTATGTACCGGTAAAATTCCATCTTATCTACTACTGTTTTTTTTTCTAGTTTTAGTTCCAGTGAGTCAATTGTAAGATAAATGAAGCCGTATTTTAGGGTATTCTCTGTTCTGATTCCTACATCCCGTTTCGTCCGTGCTCACATTTTCGCGTGCTTGTTGCGGTCCTAGCCACAACAATTTATTCAACTTACAACTCCAGAATGGATCGACTCTCAAAGCCAGAACGATTCGATCTTGTTTCGAATGCTCCAGACGCTTCTAAGCGGTGGGACCACTAGCTTCGCATTTTTTAAAATTTCTCGTCCACGACCAAAGGTCCGAAACCAGATAAATTAGGCGTTATGACTAACTACGTTTCGCCGACAACCGGGGAATGCATCAATGAGTGTTCCAGTTACAAATAAACTGTTAAATTGCTACGTGATCCCCATTTAAGACTAAAAAAACGAAATTTTCCCCGCCATCTAGCAACCCGCAGACAGGAAGCTGAGCAAACTCTTGACCAGTTCGTGCAAAAAGGTAGTCCTTAGCTAAGAGCTGCGATTTCAAAGCCGTTACGACAGAACAAAATCACGACGAGGCCATTAGAGATGCGTTTATGAGTGGCCTTTCGTCAAACCGGAATCGAACTTTCAAACTGTCTTTGATCAGGCAAGGTCACCGAAGTTGGCAGAAAGACGGTCTCTATCGTATCAGAACTTTTCGACGACCTCATTCTCTGCCGCTACTGAGTTATAAGAAACCCCGTCGAGTCCCGTTAAAGAGCTTGACTTGGCGACTCCTACTTCATCCCATAACAAATGCTTCTTCCGCGGATATGACAGGGACCGCCGTTAGATGTGTCCTACACGTGATGCGTTATTCCAAAGGACGCGGTGGTAGACCTAAACTCACGTCCTCGCCTTATTCTGTGGCTGCCGCTTGCGTCGGACCTCCCCGTTTTTTTCCTAATCTGACACCGGACTGCAAGACTGTCACTACTAAATCTCGAAGACGAAACAAAGTAGATAAGAGATTTATACGATAAGAAATTCGCTGCCTTCTTTCCGAGAGAGTAACCGGACGTCCGTTATCCCCTTGGCTAGCCCAAACTTTGGTGGTAACCAATGAAAACCACAAAAAGCGGACGGCTGCCGACTGTGGGCACACGATCAACAAATACACACTCGTAGCTCAGGTGGTTAGACCGTTGGCTGTACTAAAGCCTTCCCCTTACTGCGTGGGTTCGAATCCCACCGAGGCACCGAGTTTTTCACAGTTGGGTCAATATGAAATACACACTCATAGATGTCTACCCCTCCCCCAAAATAAACGAAATGACTGGACATATTGCAAACTACGGCACTTAAAGTACGCTTGATCTCAGGAGCGCCTATCACCAGATGCCTATCCGGGCAGAGGAAAAACCATACACTGTCTTTGAGGCTTGTGGGCATTTGTATCAATTTTGTCGTGTTCCGTTTGGTTTGACTAACGGGGTTGCGTGCTTCCAGCAGAAAGACGACATAATTACGCGCGGGCGTCCACAGAATATTTTCGTCTACAAGGACAATATCACTATTTGTAGGAACGGCCTCGCGAAGCATGACTCAACCCCTCGAAAATTTCTTGGCGTGGCCAAAAAGTACGGATTAACATTCAATGAGGCAAAAAATGTTATTGCTGTTAAACAAATAAAACTGCTTGGCTTCGAAGTATCGAAGGGCAGCATTAGGCCGAATCCGGATCGCCCGTGGTCCTTGCGTGAAATGGCTAATTGGCATGATTTTAAGTAAAACAACGGGCCGTGGGATTGTTTGCATAATACTCACAATGGATGTCTCACTCCTCAGATAAAACTCATCTACTAATCCTAATCGAGATTGATGCTTCAGTCGTCGAAATCACTGCCATACCAGACCAGAATGACCGACCAATAGTGTTATTTTCACGTAGCCCTTCACTAAATAAGCGATATCATTCAGTTATACAGATAAATGCAAACGCCGTAGTGGAATCCATAAGCAGATGGAAGCACTTCATCCATTAAAAGTACTTTGAACTCACTACGGATCAGCGGTCTGTTGCCTTCATCTCCGGCGATCAGCAAAAACGGAAAGTCAAAAATGATAAAATCAATCGCTGGACGTTGAGACTGTCATCATTCAAATTTGACACTGTCTACCGACCTAGCGAAGAAGATCGAGCGACGGACACACTTTCCCGTAGTTGTTGTGGGGGCCCTACTAACCAGTGTCGATTTGAAAGAACTACATGAGTTGCCTTGTCATCCCGGTCTCTATCGGCTGTCGCACTTTGTTCCAGCTCGGAATCTCCCCTTTTTCATGGATGAGATTCGTAATGTTGTCGCCAAATGTCAAACTTGCTGTGAAGTTAAGCCCCGTTTCTTTGGAGCACAAAGCCAACTCATCGAAGCTACCCAGCCGTTCGAACGATTGTCCATCGACTTCAAGCGTCTACTTCCATAGGCAACCCACAACTGGTGTCTGATGACAATCATTGATGAATATTCTCTTTTCCCATTTGCATTTGTCTTGATCAGACTGTTGAGATTGCCAGTGAATGTTTGTGCCAGCTTTTCTCCATAATCAGTACTCCTTCGTACATACACACCGATCGGGAATCGTCATTTATGTCAAACGATTTTCAGCAAGTCCTGCGCAATAAGGGAGTGACGACGAGGACAACTCCGCACAATCCCCAAGGAAATGGGCAGGTCAAACGTTTGAACAAAACTTCACGGAGGGCTATCTTACTTGCTACAGAATCCCAAAGCTTGCCTGCTACGCACTGGGAATCTGTTCTACTTGACGCTTTACGGTCAATCAGATCACTTTTGTGTACCGCTACTAGTGCGACACCACACAAGGGAAAGTTTGTCTGCAGCCGAAGGTCAATCCCTGGGACTACTCTCCCCATGTGGCATATCTCTCCTGGCTGAGTTCTGCTAAAGAGCAGTCAACAGTCTAAATTTGATTTGCTTGTCGAAGATGATGATTTGCTCCATTGCAACCCCTGATATGCTCATAAACAATTCAATAATGACAGAGAATAAACTGGATCCGCTCAGCTACTTGCGCCCAGAAGTGAAAATGATACCGGTGGTATCAGAAGACGACCACGCCCGTATCTCAAAATCCCATTCTATTTTCGCCTGAACATTCACCCATTACTGAGCAGGAAAGCAGCACATGTCGACTGACAAACAGAATGATGCAACTAGCACTGGCGATGTCCAGATGCATAGCCTAGAAACACTGATCCAACAAAGTGTTCATTAATACTCCCTTTGTAACAGAGACGCCTGAACTTCGCCAAATGCAAACCTTTTCTTCCGATTTATTGACACCTCAATTTCCCTTTTTGTTGGCCGGGGTAAATTCCACGCTCACTTATGCCCCGGGTTATATTCTATCTTACCTACTACTGTTCTAATTCTCGTTGCAGCTCCAGTACGTCAATTTCAGGGTGAATAGATCCCTGTTGTAGAGTATTCTTCGTCCTGATCCCTGAATCCCACTTCGATCGTGATCTCCCTCTAGCATGCCTATTACGGTCCTAGCTACAACACAGCAGTCAAGTCCCGACGTAGAAAGTGGGATGGTTTCAACACTACAACATGCCTGATAAGGCTGTGGCCCCGTACAGTGATACCTTGTAAGTCTCCTCCACCTTTCAGCAAAAGTCCCATCAAACAGGCCTTATACAATGCCTTAGACAGCAGTGTGGAATATGAATTTTCTACTTAACAATACAGGTAATATTCAAAAATCAAACCTTGGGATGGAAAGGGATTATATGCAGATAGTTGTTCCTAACTAAATAAGAACATTTCACGAGATAAATCTACTGAGGCGTAAGCAGTGGCAATAAAAAAGCCTAGAGAAGCAGCCGCTGAAGTGGAATTTTACGGGAGTTTAACAAACTTGAACCTTCTTTATAGGCTGGTCAAGTTAGATGGGCATTCGGCTCCAAAAGTTGGCAGACATCGAATATTAGTTGTCAGCTTATTTCCTAACGGTTATTACGCTTATCTGGTCCGGTATTCTCGAGTTTCCATCGGTAATATGGGTTGTATGTATGTTGGACCGCCTCATACCGGGGGACCAGAACATGAGCATAAAGTTATTTTGAAGAGATCATAGGAAGCTTCTTAGCGACTACGTAGTTATTTGCACTCTTCAGATACGTTTAATGGGTCCTCACTTAAGCGCTGTATATGGGTGCACACTTTTGTTAAAAACTTTCTGAACCTCAAATTCGCGATTGCCTTGTAGGAACCAGATCCAGTTAGATGGTGCAAAATGCGAGTGGCCCAGATTGTATTTAGGCGCCCAGGGTTAGACATTTGATAGCCTGTTTGGATTTACGGGCTAGCGCAGGGCTAGTAATCTAATTGGCTGAAGGTGAGTGCGTGATGCCAGTCACATGAAAGAAGTCCTGTGCAAATAAATTGTCGAAGAGAGTCAGTCAATTGCAAGACTTGCCCGCGACCGGGCTAGCCCTGGGCGACCAAAATGCTCTCGGGGGGGCAGGATACATACTCTTAGAGACAACAAGACAAGCTTCGGGATTGAATGCACAATAAGCATAAGAGCACGGCAAGACTGAATGTCAAGGTTTGACTTACTGAACTGCACGCTTAAACGCATCATACGACCCTCCAGTCTTGCTGTATTTCTTATCGAAAAACCAAACAGTCTTAGCGCACAGTTCTTCGAGCTGCTCATTCGTATAATTGAGCTTTTCGGCGACATGTCGAACGATCTGATTTACCTACTTAGGTAGAAACAACATTAGCATGTTACGAACGGCTTTGGCTTTCGCATATCGCTCTTGACACTTCGGGATCTCCTCAGCAGGCACCCTCCGCTTCGAAAGGTCAATATAACCTAAAAATGCGAAAAAAATTGGAAGGCTACCTTTATCAGGATCAACACGGATAACAAGTGCAATCTCGTTTCTGCCAACTTGGATCAATTTGTTGATGGAACGTATGCGGCGTCTGGATAATTCGCTATGAAGTATCATCCCATCAACATTATTGTATTCCGGAAGCTCAACATAACTGCCCATAGGATAGATAGATTTTACACTAGCGACAACGACATCGTCCTCGGCTGGGAACTTATTTTCGTAAAAACGACAAGACAGCGGCATAACGGAACACACCAGGCGTGGATTTTAAAAGTGCAACACTCGGCATAGCTGATTAAAATGCGAAGGACATTCTAGTCGGCTTGTCGATTTATTTCGGCGGTGCGACGTAAGGCGTTGAAACCCTTATGATAGTGTGAATCATCCAGAGAAAACGTTACGCGTAAGCTACAATTTAATATTAACCGGGTTCTGACGTCGGTTTTTCGTTTCTTGTGGCATCCGAATGGATTACTGTCGATCTCAGTGGGAGGATGCTCACGTCCTTTTTAGATAATTGTTTAATCTCGAGACATATTTCCAAGAGTTAGACCTGAGCAAGACCGCATACGACGCCCACAAAGACGGGGTGGTGCGACGCCTTGGCGACATCAACGGCGATTTCGAGTGAGCTTTTGACATTTTTTCACACAAACGTCTAGTTGACAAACTTTATGAAATTGGAATAAGAGGCAAGCTTCTCGCATGGATCGCAGCATATATTATAGGGAAAACATAAACTATGTGTCATGACGCCTGGAAGGCCGCCCTGCTTCCGTTTTAAGAGGTTGGTCTATGGCTCGGATTTTGGGCCGTTACTCTTCCAAATCTGCATCCAAGTATGTGTCAATAATCCAGATTGCATTAAGACACGTTTCCAACCTGCCTCTGACACGCATTTTTAAAAAATCTTGGCAAGCGAAGCAGCTGATCTGCCAGATGGCCCTGCAATTTTAGGGTTGATAATGTGTGGTCGATACTAGAATGCTCGAAGTGGAAAACAGACCTTTCGAGTCTGTTCTCCGTTTATAGCTATTTTAGAATGCTGGCAAACAGAGGATCCTTGATGTTGAAATGATTTCTCCGTTCCAACCGCCATCGCAGGCAGTTAATTGAGTACTGCAGAGGCTTTCCTCTTCGAAACGAGCGTTTACGCAAACAGACCAGGAACTGTCAAGTAAAACTTGCAGGGTATTCGTTTGGTCCTACTTGAAGTATGCTGTATAAGTCTAGCGTTAATATCTAAAGAAGGATGACTCACCGGCGGAACGAGTACTAGCAACGCTTACGAAAAGGATGAAGAATCATATTGTTCAAAATGTCTAATGGAATTCTCTTCTTCTAAATGTCGTTATATGTGTTTTGGACCTGAGAGGCACCCCCAACCAGTCGCCTTTCAAGGCACACCTATGATTGAATGTACCATCATCAATGATTAAGGTTTAAGCTACACTTATAATCTCCATCTCTCGCCACACGCTGACAGAATTACAGTCAAAGTTGCCCAGATTTGTGGCTTTATTTCCTACAATTTCTATCTTCCTGAAATCAAATTAAGCCTCTCTCGTATGTTTGTACTTCCCATTCTCAAGTATTGTCGACCATTATTTGATTCGATGAACGAGGCTAGTCGGTCAAAAATTAAAAATATTCAAAGGCTTTTTAGTTGAAAACTTTAAGGCATGGAACATCTAAATGCCTTCTATTCAGATAGATGCCTGATACATATCCTAAACTTTGTATGGGTTCGAAGACTAGAAGCAGGCTTCTGTCTCCTATTTCGCATTTAAAACAGTTCACATCTTTCTCGTGTTTCAGCATTTACCCCTAGTAATCGCCCATACAGTCTTCGCAAATATTCCCTGATTATACCTCCTCCCGCTTCCTCCACCTCTAAGCGTTCTCTATTTTTCGCTTCCAGTTATCTTTCCTCTGGAATAACGTTACAATAAATATAAGATCTTCAGATGATCTACACACTCTTAAGAGAAGGCAGTGCCTTTATCTGAATACTGACTCGATTACACTTTTATTTTCCACATTTTTCCCAGACAACTTTCTCTATGACACCGAGAAAGAGCCACTGGGACTTTAGGACGTCCGCCATTAAATTTCCGTATCTGTTCACATTTCCTTCCTTTGTCAGTAGTCTCGCTTCCTAAGATCCCTCACCAGAAATGTTAATTTTTCCATTTCTCCAGTTCATGCATCGTGCCCCTCACAGAATGCGCTCTATCGACGGTCTTGGCGGGACACTTTGTATTCAGCATATACCAGTAGTCTAGTCGCATCTCCCTTGTCCCCTTCTCGGCTGAAATCGGCTGACTGTACCTGATCGTATCTGGATTCCTATCGCCTCGAGACTGGTTTTCTATTCCCCTCTTTGTCATGAATGACCTCATCAGGCATATGAATTCTATCTTGATGATGCACGTTTGGAATTTTTTACTCAATGCCACATACAGGCCAGCCCAGGCGGACCCGCATGCTTACCCCTTCATGAAATCCGTTATACACTGTCACATACAGGCCGGTCCTGCCTGCATTTTATACCCTCTCCTATAGTGTCAATCTATTCATACTCATTTTGCTAACCTGTTAGGAGTTTTTTTACTGCTTGTTCCTCATTCTTCGTAACACGCTACTTATTCAATAACTACGAATTAAGTATTGTATGGATTTTGTATACCTGTTCTGAAGTTCTAAAGTTCATGAAAAAGTTATTCTTACTTGCTATGGACGGACCCCCACGGGTCTTGAATAAAAATTGTTCGTATTATTATCACCAAACAAGGACATCCAGAAAGTCCAACTGGTTTTTCTATACCTCTTCCATCGCGGATGGAATGTCCGCAAAGACGACGTCGAGATGTTAATAATTATAATAATAAATTGTTAAAGACCCGTAGGGGTTCCATCAAAGAAAGAAAAGATAAATTTACATGCAAATTTTAGACGAGGTAGGCAAAATCTGTACAAAGTGCAATTCATAGTTTTTGAAATAGTAGTCCGTTAAGAAAAATGATTAGAATGGGGTGAAAAAAACACCACACGAAAATTTAAAAATCATTGAATTAATTTTACAGGAGAAAAAAACCTCGATAAAAAAAGCAATAACAGAAAAATGCGGGCAGCACTGGCCTGCATGTGGCGGTATATAATGGATTATAATCGGACATTGACAGGGCAGAAATAAATTTCAGCTGTTAAGGCATTGTATAACGGATTTCATGAAGGGATAAGTAGGCGGGTCAGTCAGGACTGGCCGGTATGTGGCCATGAATAAGGCAAGTAAGTGGCGAAATTGAAAACCAGTCTCGAAACCATAGGAGCCCAGATGCGGTCGGTTACATTCATCCGAGTCCATCCGAGGATGGGTCAGGGAGATTCGACCAGACTACTAGTATATGGCGAATACAGAAGGTTTCGCCAAGAGCGTCGATGGAGTGCATTCTGTGAGGGCACGATGCATGAACTAAAAAATTGGAAAAATTAACATTTCAGGTGAGGGATCTTAGGAAGCGATACGACTCACATAGGAAGGACATTTGAGAAGATACGGAAAGTTAATGGCGTCGTTTTAAATTCCTGGTGGCCCTTTCTCAGTGTCATAGAGAAAGTAGTCCGGGAAGGATGAGGAAAATAAAAGTTAAATCGAGTCAGTATTCATATAAAGGCGTAACCTTCTCTTAAAGGTATGCAAATTAACTGAAGATTTTATTTTTATTGGAAGGTTTTTCAAGAGGAAAGTATATCTGAAAGCGAAAAAAGAGAGCGCTTTAGGTGGAGGAAGCTGGCGGAGGTATAATCAAGGACGAGTTGCGAAGATTGTACGGGCGACTACTAGGGATAAGTGCTGAAATCCGAGGAATATTTGGACTATTATTAATGCGAAAGAGGAGACAGAAGCCCGCTTCTAGTCTTCGAACCCATAAAAATTTTAGGTTAATTAGCTGGCATCTATCTGAGTAGGAGATGTTTGAATGTTCCCTATCTTAAGGTTTTTTTAGAAAAACGTCTTTGAACATTTTCCATTTTTTAATGACTAGCTTCATTCATCAAACCAAAGAATGGGCAAAAATACTCAAGAATGGGAAGTACAAACATACGATAGAGCCTTAATTTAATTTCAGGAAGATAGAAATTGTAGGAAATAAAGCCACAAATCTGGGCAGCTTTGGCTGTAATTCTGTCAGCGTGCGGCGAGAGATCAAGATTACTAGTGAATCCTAAACCTAAATCCTTGATGGTGGTACATTCAGTCAAAGGTGTGCCTTGAAAGACCACTGGTTGGGGTAGCCTATCAGGTCCAAATCACATATAGCGACATTTAGAAGGAGAGAATTCCATTAGCCATTTTGAGCTCCAAGCTGAGAGAGCAAGCAAGTCAGCATGGATTTGCTCCAGGCAATGAAGGCTCGTAGAGTTTTTGAAAGAATATACACATTTGAGATCATCGGCATAAATAAATGGTTGAGAATGTTTAACTGCTGCTGAAATATCAATAATGTAAAGCAAGAACAAAAGAGGACCTAAAACGGTGTCTTGTAGGACACCACTTATAATAGGGCCTTCGCTGGAAAATGAAGATCCGACCAAAACCTGTTGTTTACGACTAGAAAGCTATGACTTGATAAAGTCTATTGGTGGACTGCAAATTCCCACAGCTTCTAATTTAACCACGAGTCTTTTATTTGAAACTTTATCAAAGGCTTTTCTAAGATCAAAATAAATAACGAAAACAGATAGATGGTCACTACGAAGCGAGGTAAGTAGATTGAGAAACGACAAATGAAATGTTTCACAGGAGCGACAGCAAACCGTTATATACCGCCACCTACAGGCCAGTCCTGCTCGCTTTTTTCTGTCATTATTTTTAGTGAGGGGTTTTTTCTCCTGTAAAATTATTCCAATCATTTTTAACTTTTTGTATGGAGTTTTTTTTTTCACCCATCACTAATCATGTTTCTCAATGGATTACTAATTCAGAAACGATGAATTGCATTTTGTAAAGATTCTGCCTACCTCGTCTAAAACTCGCATGTAAATTTATTTTAACTTGCTTTGATGGGACCCCGACGGGTCTTTAATAAAAACGATCTATCTATCCATCTTTCTAAAAAACCATGCTGTAAAAGGCCAAAAACTTGATTGGCTACGCAAAAGTCGGTAACTTTTAAGGCAATAATTTTTTCAAAGGTTTTAGCGAGAGAAGGCGTTTTAAGGAGACCTCGATAGATTTGAACGTCTGAACGACGGTAACTTAAATACAGGAATAATAGTAGAAGTTTTCCAATAGTCCCGAAAGAAGCCGTTTACGAGGAATACTGAAAAGAGTTTTCTAAGCAGAGGAGGACAATCTCGTAGCTGTTTTATAAGAGAGTTTGGGATATTGTCCGTGCCCACTGAGCAAGAGTAAGGAATATGGGTTATCTGTTTTTAACTAGTTTCAGGAGAAAAATTAATGATGCTGAGAGATGCATCAGACAACGGAGGAATAAAAGGGATTGGGTCACTTTCGATGGTGAAATGTTTGGCAAAGAAAGAATTTCACATTTCTGCCTTGTCTGACTCCTCTGTAAGGAAGGTATCGTTGGTACTAAGCAAAGGCGGAATGACTTGGTGGGACTAAGTTGATGATCTTTGACAGAAGATCTGAGCAACTGATTTAGAAGCATTCACGCCCTTAATAGCTAAAGACTCTCTACGCCTATTTCGCGCGTGCCTCATTTTCGAAACCAAATTCAAATATTTCGACGATTCTTAGATGAACTGATAATGAGCTCACAGAAGGATCTTTAAGCTGCTTCTGTAGCTGTTTAGGTCTGTTTTTAAGAAAATGTGGGACAGCGGTGGAAGTGGCACTCGATTTGAACGTCTTCCGTGGAACTAGGTCGAGAAGACCTTATGTTACGCATTCTAATAAATTGTTAAAAAACTTTAGGTCATTATTTGAAAAAAATATTGTGCCAAACAAGAGTGCTTGTAAAGCTGTTTACTAATTCCTTGTTAATATTAGCAAAGTCAAAAAAACTACATTGTACTGTCGGCCTTGCGAAAATTGCAACTGGAAGGCGACAATGAATTAATGCATGATCACTTGCGAAAAGGTCATGATGGAGATACATAGATAGAGGGAAGGAGCCATTAGTGAAAGTTAAATCTAATACAGTATTGTTACTGGCCGAAGAGTGGACGAGTTGAGACAGGTTTGAAAAGTAAATGGTGTCATGAAGCTTCTGGAATTTAGGTGAGGAGGTATGTGTATGCCAGTCCATTTCTGGCAAATTAAAATCGCCTACGATAATCTTTACATCGAAAGGAGTCTCCGCAATTTTTTCAAAGAGTTCACAGAGTTGGCTTTCATTTCCTGAGTAACGAGGAGGATTATATACACATCTGACTAAGGCTTTCCTATTTTGCGGAAGAATTATCGAAGCGAAACATAAATTTTCAGATAAGGAGGAAATGTTCAGGTCATAAGGCGGCAGTGTCCGAGTGAGGCTCTGATGTAAAGAAGGCAACCACCATCGCGTCTTTCGAAACGATCCTGGCGGTATAAACTGAGGTTATCCACATTGAGTGCCGAGCCTGAAATTAGAGAGTGAGCCCACGATTCTTTAATGCACAATACGTCTGGGTCAAACTCTACAGCCACACTTCTTAATTGTGCCATCTTTTGCACGACTGATCTTGCGTTCAGAGAAACAATACTGACCGTATTCCTAATATGTAGGTTCCGCTCATTGCTACTTATAAAAAAGGGAGAACTGGTGATGGAAAATTAAGTTGTTGGGACAAAGCAATCGGTGGAAGGCAAAGTTGCTGTGGTCTAAAATTTGTGGGATAATTATCACTAACCAGAGTTGCAGCATTGTATGGAACAATATTTGAGGATGACCCTGGACGGGAAAGCTATTCTGTTGCTTTGGAAAAATAGGAGGCATGAAAATAGGATTTTGTGAATTGTTAGCATAATATGAGTGGTAGTTTATGCTAGGTAGCGGAAGTAATGGTTTTGAGAAACAGTTTGCTTGCATTTTGTAGTCTGGTGTGCAAGTGGGCTTCACAACAGAGGTGTTTACATTACGTTGAGAATTCGGAATAGGATCAGGTAAAGAGCTCCCTGAACTATCATCTGGCTTATTTGACCTAACCGCAAGGTCAGACCTGAGTGGCCAGGCGCGGGAATGGGATGGATTCGATCTAGGTTGAGTAACTAGTTTATTATTCTGAGTGCAAGGGGTCAGTTTTGGTTCTAGGATTGGCCCATCTTTACTGTTAAAATCAAGCTCCCTCGTAAATTTGGGAGCCGCATTTGAGCAATTCCAGCTTCTTGGGGATGTTTTGACGAGTCTGGTTTCAACTGACTCAGTGATAATGTGCTCAGTTGAAGAGCTAGATGGAACTGGGGCCACTGCAGATAAGGCGGAGGTTTGGTTGACACCCGATGGAGAATCTGCTTTAGGGGCAAACGACAGATGAGTAGAATTCTGGGGTGGCTTTACGTTTGTTAGTGGGGGAGAAACTCTTCGTTGCAGTGGAGTTTTATCTCGACTAGTAAAAATTTTATTGTCCCTGAGATATTCCGCTGAGCGCTCCAACTGGGAGAAAATAAAGTCCACTTCTATCGACGAAAACAGTTTGACAAGAATTGGTGAATTTTTGCTTCTAGATGAGAGTCTTTTAGCTTCATCGACTCTAAAGTTGAAGCCGTATGAGTAAAGAAAGTGGAAAGCGAAATCAATTGGCTGTCTACTCTTAGGAACGTCTTTTAAAATAAAGTTACAACATCGTTTGTGCCTGTCTTCTGTCTCAGTAGCAACCAGGTCAATGAGAGGCATGAGCTTCTCACACTGTTGAGACGTAAGTGTTGGCAACTTTCCTTCCAGAAGGGCACCAAGAACAGAAAAAATTGATCCGTAACGAGATATTAAATTGTTAAAATTGTCGAGTGCCCTAGGTCTATTTTCTTCATATGTACAATGGGTTTTAAGTGGAGTTTAGTAACCTTCAGATTTCGATGAAGGGTTGCCTGAGGTTTCATGTCGAAAAAGCAAAACAAGACTTTTGTCCAAAAGTTTATAGCGATGAAAGCTGCCGAGACTTCAAGGAGATATGAATGAGGCTATGTATGATGAAACAATTTCTGAAAGCTATCATATTGGTGGGCCAGACAGCACACTTAGTACTAAGCAATTTTAACAGAATAACTGCATGTAAACTTGAAAAAAAACAGGTAAATGGCAATAATGTAGGTGGCAAAATAAAACCATGAATAAATTTGAATTAGATAACGAGGCTATGTAGGATAAAATAGAGAAAATATAGTTCTCTTACTAGTCAATAAACCGACGATAAAAGCGGTCAGTGGAGACGGTTTATCGTTTAAAATATAATGCTATTCAAAATTTTATGAGGAAAACCTTTTATATACGCGGGTAAAACTTAACAGGATTAAGGCTATGTTAGGTGAAAAACTAGGATACTATATTTCCGCTTTATGATAAATCGACAAAACACGACGGGAAGCTAAGATGACTTATGA